GGGCCCGGCGCCGCCCACTGCAAAAGCCACCAAAAGCCAAGAGCACCACGGAGAAGGAGGATCTGCGCTGTGCCTGTTCCTCACTGTGACCACGTGGCGGTGCTTAGCTGGCTGGCTGCTTTCAAGAGCTGTGAAATCATTCAAATAATGCATTTTTTCTCCATTTTTTGTGAAGATCTGTTTCATCAGCCAGCTGCCACCACAAGACAGCAGCAGAGCCGGCAGAGGGCAAACTGTTGATGGGAAAGGCAGGACAGTAGGTGTGCCTGGACACAGCACAGACACGTGGACCTGAGCATGGGGCCTTCTGCCATCTGCAACAGCTCAGGGGTGCCTCACAGACCACCGGTCTACCTGTCCATCTACAAAGGATCACCAGTACAGCTACTGTAAATGACAAATGAAATCAAATGGAAGAACAGAGATGAAAAGAATAAATCCATCTTTTCACCTTGTTTATCTTGACATATCCACGGTTTGTTTTGGGATCTGTCTCTATGATGAACGTTTTGTTCGGATCTCCTTCCTTAATCTCGTAAGTGATGTAAGAACTCCCCGTGAGAGGCTCATCTGCATCAGTAGCTTGAATTTCAAGTATCACTGTTCCTACTGGGAGATCTTCAGCAAGAGTCACATTCTCATACTAAGGAGAGAGAGAGGTCACTGAAACACGACACGTCAAGCACCATCCGAGGATAAGAAATTCGGCACTATAACAGGCTTGTGACCCACATGCACTAAGGTACCTCCACCCACAAGCAGTCCTGTGAGGTAGGGAAGCATCTGCTCTGTTTCACAGCACAGATAGTTAACTCGGTTAAGGAGAGATGTACAAAAGCATTAGAGAAGTGCCTGACAGCAGGAGACCTGAGGTTCCTCACTGCCATGGGGAAGCGAGGGCTACAAGCCAGGTACTACAGTCTCTGCAAACTGCTATATCCCCCTTTCCAAATAGCCTGCTGGTTATCAGCTGTGCAGTTAGCAAGGGTGAAGGGATCTCTGTCTGAGCAAGCTACTGGTATGGCTGCAATACCAGGCAGCCATTTTATCTTTCCTAATGAAACCTTTCCACTTACATACAATATTTAAATGTTCACAGCAATAGCGACAGCACCTAGGCCACTAGGAAAACCCTAGCCACTGAGACAGTTAAATATTTAATTGTTCCATGTGCCATAAGCCACTGTCATTCTAGTGGCCCTGCTTCATTTGCATGGATGCATGCCCTGACCGAGCAGTTTGATTTTGAGATCATGTCCTGCCCTAGAGGTGGGGAGGCAAACAGCCTGCTACAGGGGCTGACAGTCTGCATATGTTGAAACTCCTCTAAGAGTCATCTGATCAAAGAGAGCTGATCAAAGCAGTCAGCCAGGCCGATAAACACTTCAGCTTCCCCAGAAGAGGACCCCCAAGTGAGGACATCAACATATTCAGTTTGCAAGACATTATACCTCCCAACTCCATTGCTGGCATTGCCTACAAGTACATGGGAGCTTAGACCCCCACTAGAAGTGATTGCCTCTGGAATGAGAATCTACTTTAGCTTTCTTAGGCAATGTGGAAATGTTTGGGACCTGCTATATCCACTGTAATGTCTGAAGTGAGATGTGGGCCAACTAGTGGAAATCACTGAAGCTCTTCAGGTTTCTCTGCCAAACTTTAGGGCCTCCATCAAAGCAAGACACAAAAGCCTGAAATTCTCACCCAAAGAAAGGGCCAGGAGGCATGTATCCCTCCAAGGATCAATGGGTTGTTGTTTTGTTTAGAGAAAATAATCCATTCAATTATTCATTCAGCTAGAAATACATTTCTGTTTCTTGGATATGCTAATACTGTGTTTGAAAAGGAACTTGGGAGAAGCCACTTTAGGTGTTTCAGTTCCTTTTTTGTTTGCTTGTTTTTCCCTGATCAGACATTTTAATCAATTATAAAGTTTTGTTTTGTTTTCCCTTCCAGAATTTACATTTCTGAAATAAACTGCTTTAACAGAATCATTTATTTCTTCATACATATTTTTCCACTGACTAAATTAGCTTATCCTTCAGAATTAACAATGAGCTTATCCAGCTGTTTACTGACTAGGTAGACCTTATAAGCAAGGGTTGTGGAAACATCTTGCCTTTATTTTCACCAGTGGACTGCTTTGCTACCTGTTCTTGTTAATAGATCAATTCCCTTTAACTTTGGGAGACATTTAATAGAGAGTCAAATGTTGAGTAAAGTTTACTAGAGACATCAAAATACTCACATCTGATTTTTCAAAGATGGGGATCTGATCATTGATGTCAATGACATGTATTTGCACATCACAGATTGTTTGGAATCCTGCACAGGAAGAGAACAAAACAACATCAGAGCAAGCCTCCCGCAGAAAAAACAACTTTGCTCTAGAAGAGCTCACAACGTAGGGAGCCAAATCACTTGATCCGAGCAAAGCCCTGCTGTTGTAAGGACATGGTTTTCAATAACTTGTAGTTAGTGAGAAACTCATTTCTCTCTCTTCTTTTTCCTTTTCCTAGTTACTCATTTCTCAGTTCCCACTGTTTCTTCTGATTTCCCTGTTATTTCTCACTATACCCTTTCACTAGGAGAGAATAACTTTGAATCGTCTTTGCTCTCTCAGTATGACTTTTGCATGTCAAAAAGTAAACCCCAATATGCTATTCCATCTTCTCTTCCTGATGGACCATCAAATAAGACCCTCTTTTTTGTTACAGTGGGACTTGAATCTAAGATTCATGTAACTATAAGTGTTCCCTAAACAGGGGTACCCATAGGGAAGGGATCTGCAAGTCTGCTCTGTCTGAGCAGACACAGAAAGGTTTTTTATTTTCCACATGTGCTTCATGAACTGAAACCTAGGAAATATCCTAAACAAAACTGTTTGGATTAAATCCAAATGAGCACCCAAGCAAATCACCACCTTCTCACCCTCAAAAGCTTTTGTATCATCTGTTTTAAGTTATACTATTTTTTAAAAGATGTATCATTCCATTATTTACATGCCCAGTGCATAAGTTTTGTCTAACAATATGAATTCAGTGCAAAACTTTAAACTTAATCAGGGAGTTTGGTTGTATTTCCATTCAGTGAACCATAAAGGATCTTGCATGATGGCCAAGGTTATTTTTGAAGATTAATTTCAGTTCTTAATATCCTAAAATATTGAAAACTGGACTCTCTGCTCTCTGGATAGCTGCATTTCTTTTTTTTTTCTTTCCCAAACCATTTCAAGAAGAAAAAAAGAAAACAGCAACAAAAAAAAAGAATATATAGATCCTAAGTCCTATGATGGCTTCAGGTTTTTCCTCTATGAAAGGAAAACTCTTACTGATGAGTATTTGTTAGCAACTGCCCACCTAGTCTGTCTGTGCTCTGCCCTAGAGCTTGTAGCTTTCCATTCTTAAATTCTCAGTCAATCAGTATTAACCTCCCTGCATCTCACAGAATGAATCACAGAATCACGGAATGCTTAGGGTGGGAAGGGACCTCTAGAGATCATCTAGTCTAACCCCCCTGCTCCAGCAGGGACACCTAGAGCCCGCGGCACAGGGTGGCATCCAGGCAAGGTTTGAAGATCTCCAAAGAAGGAGACTCCACATTAGTAGACACTGGTAACACCGTTGCAGCCTGCTCTTCGCCAGGCTCAACAGTTCCAGCTCTCACAGGCTGTCCTCACTGGAGAGATGCTGCAGGCCCTTCCCTACCTGCAGAGCCCTCGCTAGACCCTCTCTAGAAGCTCCACGTCCCTCCTGCACTGGGGAGCCCAGAACTGCACCCAACACTCCAGGTGCGGCCTCACCAGAGCTGAGGAGGGGGCAGGATCCCCTCTCTCCACCTGCTGGCAACACTGCTCCTGATGCAGGCCAAGATCCCATTGGCCTTCTTGGTCACAAGGACACATTGCTGCCTCATGGTTAACCTGCTGTCAACCAGGACTCCCAAATCCCTCTCTGCGGAGCTGCTTTCCGGCAGGTCAGCCCCTAATCTGTCCTGGTGTCTGCGGTTATTCCTCCCCAGGTGCAGGGCCCTGCTCTTGTCCTTGTTGAACCTCATGAGGTTCCACTCTGCCCAGCTAACCATCCTGTCTAGGTCCCTCTGAATGGCAGCACAGCCCTCTGGAGTACTGGCCACTCCTCCCAGTTTGGTGTCATCTGCAAACTTGCTGAGGGTGCTCTCTGTGCCATCCTCCACATCACTGATGAAGAAGTCGAACCAGACCCAGTACTGATCCCTGTGGGACACCACTGGACTCAGGCCTCCAACCAGACTTGCCCCATTTATCACCATCCTCTGAGCTCTGCCACCCAGCCAGTTCTCAATCCACTCATCTAACCCACACTTCCTGAGCTTTCCTATGAGGATGTTATGGGAGACTGTGTCGAAAGCCTTGCTGAAGCCAAGGTAGACAACATCCACGGCTCTCCCATCGTCCATCCAGCTGGTCATTCCATTGTAGAAGGCTACCAGGTTGGTCAAATGCGACTTCCCCTTGGTGAATCAATGCTGACTACTCCTGATCACCTTCTTTTCCTTGACATGCCTAGAGATGGGCTCTAGGATGAGCTGCTCCATCACCTTTCCAGGGATGGAAATGAGGCTGACAGGCCTGTAGGTTCTCGGGTCTTATCTCTTGCCCTTTTTGAAGACTGGAGTGATGCTGGTTTCCTTCAGGCCTCAGACACCTCCCCCTAACCCCTGCCAGTTCCATCAGCACTCTTAGGTGCATCCCATTTGGGCCCATAGATTTATGGGTGTCCAGTTTGCCTAAATAATCCCCAACCCAATCCTCCTTGACCTCCTGACTCTTCCTTTCTGCTGGTTATCTCTCTCGTTTCTGGGCTCAATACACGGGCACTGGCCTTAGCAGTAAAGACTAAAGCAAAGGTGGCATTTGATAACTCTGCCTTCTCTGCATCCTCCATCACTAAGGTACCTTCCCCATTCAGCAGTGGACTAACATTTTCCCTAGTCTTCCTCTTGCTGTTGATGTATTTGTAGAAGACATTCCTGTTGTCCCTGACATCTCTTGCTAATTCTAATTTCAAACGGGCCTTGACCTTCCTCGTTGCATCCCTGCATTCTCTGACAATGTTCCTATATTATTCCCATGTGGCCTGGTCCTTCTTCCACATTACGTATGTTCTATTTTTCTCATTAAGTTTACCCAACAACTTGCCCTGCCGCACGGATCTCCTGCCCTCCTTGCTCGACTTCTTTCTTATAGGAAAGCACTGATCCTGAGCTTGGAGAAAGAACAAGAAGATCTCTAGAACAAGGAAGTACAATTCCAGAGAAAAACAGCTTTCAGTTCTGCTACTTTCTTTAATACATCCCTCAGGATTCCTATAATCCCTTGGACAGTAAGCACTGGGAATGCCACAGCAAACAAATTTGTTTTCCAATGTGTAATAGGCTCTACATACCTGCATCTTTCACCAGCACCTTCAAGGAGTAGTTGGAAGCAATCTGCTTGTTTAATGAACGGCTAATTAACTGCAATACTCCTGTGTCTTGCTGAATAAAGAACAGATTACTTGCAGGAACTGCAGGAACCTGGCTCTCAATTTTGAACTGGAGACGGGAATTCAGGGTGTCTTTCTCATCCATATCCGTAGCAGACACGGTTCCAATATTACTTCCTGCAGGACAGATTGGAGTTACTCTACAATGCCATAGTTCTCTCTCCCCATAGGGGCACACACTGATGACAGTGATAGCAATGCACACAGTAGAGTCGCAATAAAAATACAAATGAGTAGCAAACACTATAATGGCCACAATCTTTAGTCTCCCACAACCTTTGGCAGTTTTTCCTCTATCATTCCAGCCAGCTGTTTAGGGGTCAGCAGTCTAGAGGGATATGTTTGGACCAGAAGTCAAAACAGATCACAGGAGACCACTTTAGCCTTGAGCACTTAGTGAAAGATTTCAGTAATGGTCTAGTGAAGTTAAAAGGAATTATTCTGGAGGAGCATCTGAATTTAGGAAAACAGACTGATGATATTTAGAACAATATTTCTCCACTGATAATAGAGGGATATTTTTCTTTCTACATTCTAAATGGTTGTACAAAACTCTAGTTGCAGTAAAGAACAATTGCATATTTTAAATGAAATAGTATTCTTTTTTTCACTATACTGATTTGGGTTCTGTCATTCTTTGGTGTTGAAATCCTTCCCACATGAATTACCAAAGTGAAAAAAATGGGGCACTATTTATACTAGAAAACTTTCCTCTAGGAGAGCTATATTTTACTATTTGGGATCAGAATTTTTAGCTTTATTTGCACCCAGCTGTAAAAAATAACAGGGCCAAAATAATGTACATAAAAGAGGACAGCATGTTTTCTTACCTACATCTTCATTCTCTTGGATTTCAAGGATAGTGAGAGCTTTCTGGCACACAGGAGGATTGTCATTTATGTCTTGAACAACAACAACAACCTGCAGAGGCTTGTCCACCAGTTCTCCCTCTTTGTCTTTGGCGATCACAAAGAATGAATACTGCAATGAGAACTTCGCTATTAGATGCGTTCAATTTCCATAATGACAATATTTTACATTTAAATGTATGTAACTATGGAAGCCTTACATACAATAATATATTATTTCACACTGCTTACTTCCATGACTTCTATTGCTTATGATCTGGATTCTCTAAAGAATTGAAGCAGCCCAAAAACTTCACTGCCCTGTGAACTTAAGTCTTTCAAAGCCTCAAGAAAGGCAAGGATATCTCATTTTTGCCATTTCATAAGCAAAACTCTCACATATAAAGATGGAGTTCCTCCAGCATAGTTTTCTATCTGCTAGACCCCCAGATGGGAAGCTCTGGAGTAACTCTGCAGTAACAACTGCAAATTAAGCTCCTTTGATTAGCAAAATGCACATGTATGCACATGGTTACAGCTTAGCCTGGCTCAGGAAGGACAGCAGTGCTTTTGGTGGAGTGACCTGTAGGAATGTCCTGCGAGCCTGCAAGGCAGAAACAAAGCTTCTAGGACTTTGTCACAGCACATGGAGAGCTCTTGGCTTTCCTGACAGCAAGTTCATTTTTTATGTATGTTTGTTATTGCTGCTGTGGAGAGATCCCTGTGATCTATGTGCTGCAGTAAATCAGGAGGATTTGAAATGTCTAAAGCTCCTGCTTTTGCCTACACCACAGTGCAAATAACTTTAGTTCTGTCACGGTGAGCTCCACACCGTGCTCCATATATGTGGTGGGCAGTGATTGCTACCAGACTGCAGACAAGTATTGGTAAGCAGCAAGCTGAAGACTGTTTACATCAAATTCAGCTGATTAATGTGCTTTCATATTTATTAAGCCATTCTTCTCCATACAGAAATGACAAGAAATCAAGCTTTTCCTTCCTTTTTTTCCCCTCTGCAGCTTGCTTGCCCTTGCTCACATATCAGTAATCACCTCCCTGCTACGGTCTCTCCCATCCATTAGGTTTTATATTTACTTACAGTATCCTTTTCTTCCCTGTCCAATGGCTCAGTCACATAAATAATCCCGTTCTGATCAACAGAAAATGGGAGCCTGGGCAGCTTTTCTCTTTCAAAAAGCTCATAAGTTACATTTGGTTCATTTGAGTGCACCTAAAAACACAAAAGTAAGTCAAAATAGGAAGTCTGCGAGACTGAGGTTCAGCAACAATCATCTGTGGGCCACAGACAGAGAAGAATTTTTTCCTGTTAGCTTCTCTTTAAGTCATAAATGAGAAAATTAGCAGTTTGGCAATGCTGGCAGCAGGTGTCAGAAAAATAGCCTGTAATCCACATCACCGAACTGTTGTAGCAAAACCATTTCACCTCTGTTTCTTCAGCTGTTTAAGATGAGCCCTAATACTTACCTTTGTATGAAAGTTTGGTGATGTGCAAGTAAAAGGTGATATGGGGGAAGGAAGTGTTATTACTATTTGAATGTCTTAACACTAATTTATTCTGTCTTCTTAAACCATCTATTCCTGCCTCTTGATTTTGATTTAGCTAACTTGCAGATGTGGAATAACAAAGCACACATCCAGTACCTATTTGCACATATATGTGTGCATGCTATTTACATTCATCAAAGTCTGCAACAAAGAGCTTTAGTTTTAAGAAGAAATGCAGTAAATATAAAATCAAATGTTTCTGAAAGAAAGTTTCCTGTAAGTCAATATTTACTGCTATATACATCACTTTTACTTTTCTATTTTTGGAGTTATAGACAAAATATTTTCCATTTGCACTGGTGGTCTCCTTCCAACCTCTTTTGTAGATGGAAGAAGGTAACCTCAAAGTCACCTTAAAGAAATCAGCTCTTGATTCATCCAGAGTCTCTGGTGTGCAAGGATGGGACTGCTGAGAAACCCATCAAGAGACAACCACAGCACGTCCGCAGAGGCACAAGACTGCTCCACATATAGCAGGAGATGCTGCTCGTCCTCCCACGCAGCTGCAAGTCGCTCGACAGAAGCTGCACGTGGCTGTCCCCACTCCAGGACACCTACACAACAACACGTCCTCAGGACAGGAAATGAGGCCACACATTTACTGTCCCAAGGAAGTGTCACCTATTACCGTCCTCCTGAATTTTTCTTCCAGGATACTACATTTAAAACTCTACTGAAAAACCGTAAACTAACGTGAGTCACCTTTATATTTCCTATTCTGCCAAAAATCCCTGAAAAGTACCCTTTTTCATCCAGTCATTAGACTGTAATGAACTTGTCCAAAGGTTTCCCATGTTCATATCATGTTCTCACATATGGGCTATGTCAACAGCCTCTCTAAACTGCAGGGCAGCACCTACTCAGTCTGATATTTATACTGACTTAGGCTGTAACTCAGTCACATTCAAACTGTTACTTTCATACTAAAGATGGATTAATGAGATCCCTAATGATCATTTCCAAAGGGCGATACATGAAACAGATTTCAGAGGTGCCAAACTTCCTTTTTACTCAGATCCAGGCCAGGCAAAGCTCTTGCAGAGTACATTTTCACTTTTCACTGGGAGAAGATGATTCAGTGCACTCAGGAGATGCCCTGGAGCACGGCTGAACTCCAACCATCTCTGCTGCAGCTCCAGGCCCTACCTGTGTGATGTTGACAGGGTGTTTCTGGGTGGAGTTCTCTTGGAGGTAGATGGTGGAGGGTGCCTTCCAGAGACTCTCCTTCACAGTGATGAACACATCAGCACTACTGGTGAAACCGTTCACTGACATCCCCGCCATGTCCTTCACAGAGACCACAAGGGTGAAGGAGTCCTGCTTTTGGGGATCTAAGTAGTAAGAGCCTAGAGGATGGAACAAAGAGCTGTAAGTGTAATGCAGCAGACTTTGTAGGGACTGTTCACCTATAGACACCTCTGACTCATTGCCTCATACATGTCCCTTGCTTCTGCATCTGCCACAGGCTCGCCCCTTAGATGGGCCTCTGTGCCCAATCTCAGCAAGCTGTTTTCTGTGGCTTGTCTGGATGATGCAGCACTGCACCACGTGAACATAGCCACTCCACTGGCCCTGGCTAACCTCAGGAGACCTCTGTGCCGTAGGCTCTTTTGTCGTGCAGAGGCATCATTGAGCAGCTCTCATTCTTTTTCTTTAAGCAATTGCTAAGCCCAGCAAAAGAGCCTGATTATTTACATCATTTCAATTTAGGTAGGATCACATGGCTGGCCCAATTTTCTCTGCGTTCTTCATTCTCCTGTTTTTGGTTTTCTTGATTTCAAGGGATGGAATTAATGCTAAAATCTGACTGCATATTATGGAAGGCAAGACGATCTACATCACTTATCATTGCACTTTTAAATTCCAATGTCCAGCTCTGCTAACTTCTCTTGAATTTGGTAGTAAACAAGAACATATGGCCCCAGATCAGGGCCGCAGTAGAGCAGGTCCCACAGACTACCATTATTCAGAATTTGACATCAGAACCATTGTCTCCATGTTCCTGGGTACACCCAGGAATTCAAACTTACTTGCTGACAAACAAACAAGATCATTTTACATACCTGTTATACTTGGCGAGATTTCTCCAGTTACATTATTGATCTGGAAAAGCATTTTTGGATAAGGGTTTGGAAAATGGTGGAGAATGCTGTAAGCCAGCTGTGCATGAGGAGTTGAAGGGTCGTCACGGTCAGTGGCATAGACAGACATGAAGGGCTTGCCTGTTCAAATTAGAGAACAAATTAGCGGCTGTGATAAGAAGAGACTTCAACATGAAGATCATTCGAGCAGAGCAGGGAAGGTAGCTTATGGGGAGCTGCTGCTTTATCCCAACAGCCATGGCACTCATGACAGGCAATGCTTGTGCATGGACATTACATTGCCTATGTGCCATCTTGCAGGTCACCCTTCCACTAGTCCTGAGCGGCAGGGTCTCACCAGGGGCAAAGACCAGCATATGCAGAGGTGACACAACTAACTCAGAAAGCTATATACCAAAGAGGGCCCGCATCAGGACTGTTATTCCACTGGTATTTCTCATTCCTTTAGGCCACTGCGAATTCCTTATACAAATCAGTTCCAGCAGAGGCAACTCAAGAGAAGTGCCTTGAAATTCAGACAGAGTTGTGATTAAAGGAACAATCACACAATCATATACTGCCATGGCAGAGTGAAAAATAATGGAAAGAAATAGAGATCCATGGCAACATAAATTATTTTTTACCTTTTGTTAATCCAGGCAACATTTAAAACCCTTTTTACTTGGATGAACCTGAAGAATATACTAAAAAAATACAGAGTGGTTTTCTCACACCATGGAGCCTTACATGCTCATTCTTAAGTGAAAGTCTTTCCTTGATTTCATGGTCACAGAGATAATAGTTGGCCAAGATCTTTGCTGCATTTCCAGGATGTGGGTCTTGTGCTGCTTTTCTGGACAGGATAACTGCAGCCCATAATCAAAGACTGTCTGATTCTGAGCAGTATCAGTCCAGTCACAAGAAACTCATGCCTCACAGCTACACTGACATTTCTTTTCTCGTATTTTTAAACTGCAGTACTTAATTATCATGACAATTACCTGGACGGGAGTTCTGCCTTACTACTCCAGCATATGTTGGCTGATCAAACTCTGGTGGGTTGTCATTAACATCCTCAACGAGTATCGTAACAGTATATGGACCTTTTACTCTCTGTCCATTTTCATCCAGACTTTCCACCTTGATTTGGAAAAAGAAGGAAAAACAAAGAAATAGATAGATTTGAGTTTAAAGAACCTAAATCAGTCAGGATGCCAAATGTCAAGTCATTCTTAATGTCATCCAGATATGGGAAAGCCATCCTTGTGTGGCTCCATCCATAAAGACAAATTTACCACAGTAGTTCACTGAAAATAGTGAACTATCAGTTCATCACAGTATATAATGCCAACAGTACAAAATAATCTACCACTGCTTTGGCTGATATTTTTCAGAAGGCTATTTCTGACCTTCAGTTTCAGCAGACTACTTGGACTCTTGCATAGTTAGACCTCATGCTTTTCTTTAAATAGAAATAAATACTTTCTAAAGAACAAGGAGAAAAAAACACATGATATATGGAGGACTTGAGTGTGCTATTGTAAATATCAATAACAAAAAATAATCTGATCCAACACTTTGTTAGGAACATTCAATTCTTAGTTCTGATTACATTTTTTTTTCCAAACAGTGTGACTTCCCCTTTTTTCAGCCTTGTATGATTTTTAGAGAACATATTATGCTCTGTAAGTATATACTATGTCACTAAGACTTTATTTTGTTTGCACATAATAGATTAAATCATGATTGATCTTTCCTAAGAAAGTACGATTTTTTAGTTCTATCATTTCTTATCTGTAAAGGATTTATAAATTTAGGGATAATAGCTTTTGGGGTTAGAAAATTTGTCTTCTGTAGTATTACCAATTAAAGGGTGCTTTAGAGTCGAGAACATAGAATCGTTAAACTTGAAGCACTAGGCATCTTGCTCTTTAGTAAGATAGCTAAGGTTAGTCAAAACATGATCATGTATTCTGTCTTTTCAGATGCTGACCCCTTCATGATCATTTTCTTTATGGTTGATAGTGTTCCAGAAAAAGTCAGAGCCAGTTTTGACACCAGATGAGCACACAAGGCAGTAGTGAGTCTGACAAGGAGATCTCCCACCCGCCATCCTGTTCCCAACAGAGATCCCAGTGAGATGCTTATGAAAAGAATATAATAACAGGACAGGCACACAGTGATCTTTCCTCTAATAGCCTCCAATGTGTGTCAGACTGTTTTCTGCCAGAGGTTAGATCTGTGCCTCTGTGTCTAAATGTCATTTAGTCACATCATTTGTCATTAAATAGATCACAATCTTCCTAAATAGATAATAATCATTTATTCCCACATTTCAACCATGAGCTTCACCCCACCAGTCTTCAGTGATGGCAAGCCATCTCATTTATGATGCCAAATCTGTCACTTCACTTCTAATCAAGAAAACCAAGATAATTACAAAACTGATTTTGGGACCATGGTAACTTTTGTTCTCAACAAACTTTTGTGTGCTAGAGAGCACCTTCTTGTTCTAACTGCTCACAATCCACAGCCATCACTAAGTTAACATCAAAGTCTTCCAGAACTGTAAAATCATACATCTTTGAACAAAACTCATTTTTAGAAATGAGAAATGTCACTCTAAATGGACAGGTAAGAAGTAATTTGAAACATCAGCACAATTTTCCATTCTATTCAAGTTGTACCAAAGAAAAGGACAAACATGAATAGCCTTCCCTTCCTGTTTTTACTGAGTTGTCACCTGCAGATTGTAGCTGGTTTTGGTCTCCCAGTCTAGAGACCCATTGAGGTACAGGACTCCCGTCTTCGGGTCTATGTCGAGTATTCCATCTTTTTCCCCAGTCGTTCTGAAGCTCACCGCAGGCGGCTCAACTGTGAACTAGAGAGAGGGAAAAATCAGAGGAATCATCAACGCCTTTTGCAAGAATAATTTAATGAATTTAATACTTTTGTGTTTTTTAAAATCTATTCCAGCAGTGTGTTTGGATAGAGGAATGCTATTCTAAGAGTCTGCTCAAGCAAAGCTGCCCTTTTCTGATCCTCAGCAGAGGAGTTTTCACATTATTTCCTGAATGCTGCAGGAAATCTGAGCTGTGGTTTCTCCTCCAAAGGAAATGTCTGCCTAGGACAGGGGTTTGTCTGAACACTGGGATGGAAAATAATGACACATATCCTCCATTTGCCTGGGAGCTGGATCGGCTATTCTGTGGTTATGGTTTTGGGAAAGGAACCTCAGACCCTAAGGAAAATGGTAACACTACATACACTGAAGCCCATTCTCTAGGCTTACAGATTGTGATAACCTTGTTTTAGGAGATCCTCTTAAAACCTACTTGAGAAGAGTGCTTGTGGGTTTTTTTGCGTGAAGGCACTGGAATTCTCAGATAATGAAAGCCAAAGTTCGTTTCAGATAATCTCTGGTGACTGTCTCACCAGCATGGATGGCAACACAGTCTATGAGATCAGTATGCAAAAAGTATGGGATTTTTGATCCCATGTGTCTGATTTGAGTGGATGGCAAGAGACACTGATTACCTGGTATATGAGGCGAACTCCAGATCCTTCTGGAACAGAGAAAGTCGCGTCCTTCAGAGGTCCAGTTAGATGCAGGCTCCCAGAATTCTGGCACATAGCCTTTGAGAGAGACGGAGTTGGAGGAAATCAGCTGAGGATTGTGTAGTGCCATCATGCATGAACAGTAACCCTCCCTTACAAAGGCCATCACAGATTATTCTGGTGTAGTGTAATGTAAAAGATACTTGCTGGCCTACACTGAGCCTCTCTTGGTTCTTCAATGCATATCCATCTTAATTTGATTTCAAAACAAACATTTAGATACTGCCCTTTTCTAAACCACTACATAATTTAAGGTGGCTCTACCTTCAAGAGCAAGGGCCTTCAAGAGGAAACACATGCAACAAAGAGTGGAGGGTAGATGGCGGGCAAGAGGAAACCCATAAAAGCATTTCAGCGTCACATGTTCCCAGTAGGACCAACAAAAGCACTTCAGCATCACATGTTCCCAGCAGGACTAGCCACATCCCATTTAGGAGCTGTGCAATCCTGTGGCCACAAATGTGTCACAAGACCCAACAACCTGGGTGACCTGAGGAAGAGGAGGAGTTGGAGGAACTGCACCCTTTACAATTTCCTCAATAAATCCAAAAATGCCCATGCACTATTTTGTGAGGGAAAATGTGGGATGACCCCACTGTCGTCAGCTGCTCTGGCCACCTGAGTAAGGCGTTCAAGCCCTGTCCCTTCACAAAGCTGCTGCTAAGTGTAATCAATAGTCCAAGCAAAGATAACTTGCTGATCTTTTACCTATAAAACTCTCTCAGCCTCTTTTTTCTTCCTAATGGCTGACATTTTGTTCACATGGAGTTTCTTCTGGCAAATTTTCATAAGTTTTAGGAACAACACCCTCCCTGGGCACACTCTGATGCTCTTTCTGCACTAACATTTCAGAGCAGCAAATCACAAATAGCAAAACCAGAATCAGTTTCCCAGAGCAGCTTTTGTATACAAGATAATTCGGCCTGTGATTCAGATAAAATACCTGTTCTAAAAAGGCAACACCAATTCCCCTTAAACTCTTACTTTTCTCTCCCTGTTGCTGAGGTCTTGCCAATGCTGAGGAGCTGCCTACCAGAACTGAGGCTCTGACATACGGCTGGGCAGGTGAAACTCCCCACCAAGACCCATTTTCCAGAGGAAAAAATGACTTTTATTCTGGTACACGAATTTGAAGTGCTGTTGCAGTGATACTAACCAGTGCATGTTTTCTCCTACATGACTTTTCCCCTGAATTTGATCCTGTTGCTTGTGGGACAGCTATTTGGCCTCTCACAGAAAGGCACAGCTAGCATATTACCAAGGGAAAACTTAATTCAGACTATGACAAAAGCATGGCTAAATTCAGCATAATTTACCCTAAAGCACTGCTGTGTACGTGTCACAAGTTATGTTTGAATAACGCCAGATCCTGCTTATTAATAGCCAGAGATTTTGCCCTCCTCGCCTACAAGAGTTTGCGACATTTTTGCAAACAGGAAAGCTGTAATATTGTGAGAATTAGAGAAAAACTGTGGGGGATGGGAAGGATACTGAGCGAACACTAATGACATGAAAAACACATTTTAAAAGCCCATGTTATGTGCTTTATGGCTCCACTCTACTTTTCCGTCACAGCTTTCCCCAGGCCGCTGCCAGGGACAAGCCCCCAGGATAGAAGGACCCTGGCTCTGATCCATTATTGCTGGTCCCATGTGACACTCGTGGGCACAACCTGGATCTTGGAGACCTTTCCCAGGGCTGTTTAATGAGAGCTTTTGTAATGTCTTACAGGGTGCCGCCTGTCCAGGAAAGCACAAAGGCTGACACCATAAAACCCAGAAGGTTCAAAGTGCAGCCTGTGAAGCAAGGAAGAGTTATCTCTTCCTGACAATTAAAATTACTTTATATGGATCATAAATATTTCAAAATGTATGTCTACAGTATGACTCACAACTCAGGGCCCAGAGGAGAAATGGGTCTTTCTCCTTGGGCCATATCCATTGACAGCTCTTCTGAAGCTGGCTGTAATGGCCACAGAGTGACTTCTGGGGACAGGTGCTGCTGGGGTCAGTAAATTTGGGAAATGGGACTCAACAGCTAGATGTTCACTGCTGCACAGGAGCCCCACTTCCAGGGCCTCCATATTTTTTATTAGATTTCAGTTTGACTCTTCTAAAAGCACTGTTAATATCAAATGTTAAGCAGAAGACTGTAGCCCTAGTAAGTATCAATAAATCCACTTAATTTAAAAGATCAAATCTGTAAATGGCATAATTAATACATTTCAACTCCAGAAAAATCCCTGAAAATGGATTCACATAGAAAAATGATGATAGATATGAAATAATCATGATTCAAATCACATAGCACTATATATTATAGAATGCACATAGAGTATTTAGGGCACATTTATCATAGATTTTATTAGCACATCTATAATTACAATATGATTATAATACAGAACTCAGTTCAAGGAAGACAAAAGAAATGTCATTGCTGTTTAATGATCCACTGCAGTATTTTCAATTCTTTACTAACATGAAATCCATTTACTAAAAAAAAAAAAAAAATAGTAGTATGTAAGGAGGAACCACAAGAAGCAAAGAAGCTGCAGCCGGTTTCCTCTGTTTTCTAAGCTTTTTTTTTTTTTTTTTCCCCTGAAGATTGAAACAACTTCTAAATTTTTGACAATGCGGCACCTGGATTGGGGATATACATCCACATCCAGCCTTCCCATTCAGCGTACAGCCCACTGCCCATTGGGCGTTCACACCGGAGATGCCTTTTGGGGGGTAATGGCTTAGAGGCTCCCATGCAACTTGTGCCATTGGTGCCCAGGAAGATGAAAGCAAAGCTGTAACTCACCAAGTGAATGAGAAGCAGAAGTTGAGATCCACATAGTCTAAACGTGCTGAAAGACATGTTGCTCCAACTCCTGTGATGAAGAGGTAGGAGACACTTTAGCGCCGCAGAACTGACTCACTCTATTGGGGGCAGAGGCTAGAGTGAAGCTCCTCCAGGGCTACACCCTCTGGAGAACAGCCTGGAGTGAACAGAGCTCCACTGGGGTAGCGGAGCAGCTTCTGGTGCCACAGGAGCTCCCACATGTCAGAGCAGCCTTACCGACCTGACTAAAAGAGACTAAAACTGGCCAAAACCATCAAATCATGTAACGCCCCTCCTGGGCTGCCTGATGTCACGCAACCCCTGTTTTCATTTCTGCTTTAGTAAAGGCAACAACAGCACATTCGCAGGAAACTGCAACCACAAACAGGTCTTGCAGGGCTCATGCAGACACCTCTGTCCTCAATGTGAAAACCCAGGCACTCAGTTCAGTGTGCAGAGTGAGGGACCTGGGGGTCTGGCCATGCACCACCTGCCTTGACGCTGCCTGAGCTTCAGAAACACCCGAGCACAGCAAGAATTTGCTGAAGAGCCACCACTGGGCATCGCTTTTACTGCTGAGGCAATTTTTGACATTACTGGACTCCTTCCATGAATGGGAACCAGCTACAGGAACTGGAAGAGATAAAATGGCGGTCCCTTGGAGCAAATGAGGATTTGTCAGGAAGCTAGGGCTGAGGGCTGCCCTCTGCTGCAGAGCACTGCTCCTTACTGAGCAGGTCCCTCACTGCCCGGCTGGGAGCCAGAGTTGGTACATGGGACATGGCAGAGGGAAAAGCCCGGGATGCATCCAGCCAAAAAGCCAGCTTGAACTGAACGTTGCTGATTTTGCAGTGAGATAGTCTAGGGAACACTGCTCAGCTCCTCTGTCTAGCAAACAGCCTCCCTTTCCTCCTTCTCCGAGGACTTTTGGAATATGTTGGCCTGTTTCAACTGTATTTAACAATCGGGCAGAAGCCTCAAAATATTAATTCCCTCCTAAACTTTACATGGATGTTTCAGTGCGCCATGTTCAGTATCTCCATCCAGAAGTAATGGTGAGCGCAGCGCAGAAAGACAGCCATTTTGTAGACTGTTTGGAAGGTAAATGCTTCTACTGTTCCCTTTTCCTTTGAAAGCAAGTATAATTCCCTAACATCACGCCATTCACTTTTTCTTCTGTGAGATGAGGATGAATGGCATGATCAGCATTTGAACCTTTATCCAGGGCATTTTCAGTGCCAAGTGTTGAGCGGCTGGAAGCTGCTACTGAATCTCATGGCACTGCCAGGGACCAGAGGCCCCAAACACATTATTCCATGTCATCCAGTATAGAGGCTAGTACAAAATTCAGATCCCCTGAGAATCCTGCAGAAGTTTTCAATGATAGACAGGACCAGTTTCAGGATTAGAATAGGATCAGCTTAATTGAAAAGAGCCAGAGATCCAGCTGAGAACTGGATCTGTATTTCCCCTCGTTTCTCAGTTTCATTTCATTGCTATATCCCTCATAATCCCTTATGGATCTCCTGCCTGACAGGAAATCTCTAGGATAACCAACATACAAATATCACAGTGACTTTCAATAATAAACATTCAGAGAACAAAGAAAATTCCCGGAGGTTAAAGATCAGTAACAGCCGAAAGTATTTCTTTCCATGAAAAAAAAAGTTGGTTTTCTTTAAATGATTGATTTCGTATGTTAAAATTCAGTAAAGGGAAAACAGAAGAAATTGATCCAAATCAAATACAAGCCATACTTAGCTTTAGCACAACAGTCATCCATTTTACAAGGACAGCTATGTTCCTAACACTGCCAGAAAATGCCTTCATCAAACCCTTCGCTTCAGGGTTTAAAGACCTTTCAGTGAAATGAGAGATCATCTCTTACCTGTAACATGAAAAACTTGGTATTTTCTCTAAAAATATTTCTTTCTTTTAGCTGTGGGAATCACCTTTGCAGGTTGGTGGTGTCCGCTTGTGCTTCTCAACACAGTTTATAGTTTCTCAGACTCGCCCTAGAGGTTTGGTGGCTCAAACATTAACAGCTTGGAGAATTATTGATCCTTAATAACTAGGTGTGGCATGAAATGGCAGCCATGGAAGGAAGCAGTGTGGCTATGAGACTATTTATGGGTCCTTATATCCTTTTGGATTTTCTGCCTGTATTTAGTTTTTCAGTGTGGCTGCAA